ATAGCGCAGCGCTCCTCGTAATGCCGCTGCTCCGCTCTGAACCGAAACGACTGGCGCTCTAGCAGCGTCCCAGTGCTCGATGCCTCGAAGTGAGGCCGGCCGGTACTAAGTACCGGTGGGGCAGAGGCCAGCCTCAATGCTGCGAGGCCTGGCCGTGATCTGAACCGTCAAGATTGACGATTCAGATCGGATCGGCGGGCGGCAGCCTCAAAAGCGCCGCCAGGCCCAAAACGAGAATATCGTTTGGGCCTGCCCGTCGGTCTGGTCCAAAATGTGGCCCTTCGGCCTGCTGTACCCCCAAGTCTGGGCCTTTAGACCCTACTGTGTCCCCTCGGCCCTAAGTCGGGTCCGCTAGGGCCCGTGTGGCGTCGAAGATGTAACACCACCATAGCCAGGTAAGTGCCTCTGGCGCTCCTCCCTCCTAGTCGTGGTCTTCTTCCTCCTCCTGTCCTTTGCTCCTCCCCAGCAGCGCTGCTCCTGATGCTAGTGCTGCCCCAGTCAACGCTCCAACCAGTGTGTTGCCAAACTTGCACACCGACAATGAGGAGCTCTTTGCTCCTGGAGATCTAGCGGCCTGCTTGCCTCTTGGCAAGTGACTTCCTAGGCCACTCGGCCTCTAAGCAACCAGTACCTCCTCCCTTTCAGAGGGAAACATCATTGCAGACTCTGATATTGCGCGTACAGGCCCTAGACTCAGACTGGTTGGGATGGTAGCCACCAAGACCTAGCCTACAACTACTGGGCCTCTAAAAATGCCGACTTTTGTCTTCTTCTGCTCGGCCTCGAGTACCCTGCGCATCTATCTCTACTTGGTGTGGTACCGGCCTACCTGCTACTTGAGTGTTTAAGTGTCGCGCGCCTCTTTCCCCGCTGCAACCCTCAATGTCACGGCCACAGGTAGGTACCGGCCCTTCGGGCCTTCTGAACAAATGTCCTTGCGGTCACACACACACTCAAGCCGACAAGCACTCAGACAGGCATGCAGACCAGCAAGCACGCACCCACTCAGACTTAGAAAACTCAGCAACAAGCGGGAAACTCAGCAAGGCATACATTCCATGAGCAAAACTCAGAAATAAGCTGGTGTGTCTCAGTCCGTGTTTGGCAGGTCATTACACTACTGTCTTAACCTGGACACGACACATCTCACCATGACTGCATTGGAGCCGAAAGATTGTCTGCATAGATTCATGATTAGGCTGTGGTGTGTTCGGTGGAATTGAGTTGTCAGCCAATTCTTCTTTTTCTCCACTCTTTGTAATGCAATTTCCTTCATGGTGTGTGATCTAATTCGCATCTAATGTAGTTGCCTGAAGATACACTATGGATTTTCAATATAATGTTATTAATGCAAAGCGAACGCCTCCTGTCATTCTTACTGCTTCACCACCTTTCAAGATTAGAGGGTGGAAAAAAAAAACCACCTCCCTAATCATGGTTATGTGATGAGCCGACCAAACACGGACTGAGACACACAGTTGATTTCTGAGTTTTGCTCACGGACTGAATGCCTGTATGTGTGCACGCTTGCTGTTCTGTATGTCTGTCTGAGTGCTGGTTGGCTTGAGTGTGTGTGTGACCCGCAAGGGTACTTGTCCGTTCATTGGGCCCTCAGGGCCGGTACTTACCTGTGGCCATGACATTGAGGGGTTGCAGCGGGGGAAAACACTCAAGTAGCAGGTAGGCCGGTACCGCACCCTGAAGAGGTAGATGTGCGGGTACTGGAGGCCGAGCAGAAGAAGACAAAAGTGGCATTTTGGGAGGCCCAGTAGTTGTAGGCTAGGTCTAGGCGGGTACCAGTCCAACCAGTCTGAGTCTAGGGCCTGTACGGGCAATATCAGAGTCTGCAATGATGATTCCCTCCGAAAGGGAGGAGGTACCGGTTGC